AGCAGACACTAAAACACGGGTCAATCAAGGGCACCCCAAAAAAATTGCTAGTGTTTGCTTATGCAGTAAAAACATCCAGGCCATTACTCCTGCTGCTCTTATCGTGTGTTCCGCCCATACAGACTGAAAGAATTGTTGCTAAAGGAGCGATCGGGTCGCTCTGAGTGGCAGACTCGTGTTGAGGAGCTGGAGGGGAGGTGTCGGACCCTGACCCAGCAGCTGGAACAGGCCCGCAGCAGTGAAGAACAACACAGGACTGCGGTGCGTGGACTGGAGGAAAGCATCTCCCACGGAGAGGCACTCCGGGCTCGCCAGCAGGCTGAGGAGGTGCGGCGAGATTTTGATACGACTAGTGTTCATTCAGTTGGGAAATCAAGAGCACGCCTGTTTCGAGTGATACACATCACGCTGTTTCTGGTAACAACAGAGCAGGTTAAATCCTGATGCCACTATTGTTTTTAATTAAACCAGCTGAGCAGCTTAGTTACCCGAGATAACACATTCAGCGCTGACAGTGTCCGATAAAAACTAATTGTATAAAGCATGTGGCGACCTTCCTCAGATGAAGCGGCACCAGGAGCTGGAGAACAAGGCAACGGCTCTGAAGAGAGAGTCTGACATTCAGAGAGCCTCAGTGCGTCAGTACAAAGAGAAAATGCAGCAGCTGCATGAACTGCTGGCATCCAGAGAGCAGGAGCACAGGTACAACCGCAGGGTGTTATTCTGGAGGAGTGTCACATATATATCAACTTTATCCTCTTTTAATAAAATGGAAAATATGTTCTGCCAGATGTAGAATAGATTTTTTAAAAATGTATTTAATGTCATGACCCACAGGTTTCCATTCGCATGCCATCCCATTTGTGTTCGAACAGCTCAGTGTACCATGCTTGTTTTCCACAGAAAACAGCTGGATTTGCGGTTGCAGCCTGGTGGGGCGGATTTCAGAGAGGCGGTGGCGAGGGAGGTTGCATCAGTGGAGCGGCGGCACGGCCACAAGGAGGCGGAGCTGCAGGAGAAACTGGCAGAGGGCAGGAAACAGTATGCCGCCCTGGAAGACGAGTTCCGCATGGCGCTCACCATCGAGGCCGCCCGCTTCTCCGAGGTCTGGTTGAAGACTTAGTCGTGCCACACGGGCGGCCTGTAATCACTGACGTGTTGTTTTAAGTTCGACTCACTACATTCTCTGCACAGATAACGTTATCACTGTGTCAAATGAAAAGCAAAATGACTGACCTGGAATTGACCCCAATCTAGATTTAGCAGTAGAAAAGCTGAGATGGAGTCTTTAATTAACACAAAAAACGCTTCATACAAAAGGATTGGATTTGAATCAAGCTTGTCGTTATGGTTAAAGATTACATTCATTCATTCTTCACAATATGTCATTTATTCTTCATCGCTGCAGGTCACACCATTTCCTACTTAAAAGCTTTAACCTCTGACCTCATAACTCTGAAACCCTTTCTGTCGAATGTGACATTGATTGCATTGTGAAGTCTGGCAATGCTCCAACCAAAGTGCCTCACTCTGTTCAACGCTCATTCTCCCCTGATTCCACCTCCTCGCCCTGCTGCCGTAGGTAAAGGAGGCTTGTGATCAGATGACTGCAGAGCTGTTGGGTCTCAAGGCGAGCCTCGCTCAGACCCAGCAGAGGGAGAAGAAATCGGGTTCCCTGGTGCAGGAGCTCACAGTCATGGTCAAAGAACAGAAAAACCGCATCGCTGATCTCATCAAAGCCAAGAGAGAGGCCGTCGCTGATCTGAAGGTATAGCACTGAAGTAAAAGATTGATATCTGGCTGAATTATTTAGAAGAAATTCTCTGTGCAGGAGTAAAAAATCACGTGATGCAACAGCAGCGTTGGACAAGCGGCTTGTGAAGTACAGTGAGCTCTGCATTAAAGGGAGCTTCACCACACTGAACTATACTTCTTAGAGAAATGCAACAAGCTAAGGTGACACGGCAAAAGAGGGTTTTTTAAATGATAAACCTGCCTGCACTACTGCACATTTAGCACATTAATATAAATTAATGTTAAAAGTTGTGACTGGATCCACTCCTGGTGTCCTCACCCTCTGCCACCAATTTATTATGTAAAAACAAGCTTGCTTGTGTGTATTTTCTGTGTTAAAGACGTCACAGGCATCAGTCTCAGGTACGTGATATCATCGTCAACGCTTTAGTTTGTATCGTTCCAGTCCCCCTGCTGATGGCTACACACACACACACACACACACACATACTGATCCCTGCCGCTTAATGCAGACCACAGGAGAAAAACTGTATCTATGTGAGATACAATAGAGATAAGCAGTTCTTATTGTCCAGCCTGAGCCTTCAGGAGACTTTAAAGAATGAATCCGCTGCCTTTCATTCTGTGAGCCGATCATCAATACTCTCTGTCCGTCTGTTTCTGTCCTCCCGCCCAGAACCGTCTGCATTCCTTGGAAACAGAGGTGGCGCAGGACCGGCGTGTCGCCCTGCAGCTGGAGCTGCTGAAGAAGGACAAGGCTCGACTGTTGTCTCAGCTGACGGCTCAGGAGTCGGTGATCGATGGCCTCAGGGCAGAGAGGAAGATCTGGGGCCAGGAGCTCGCTCAACAAGGTGGGAGGCGTCAAGGAGACACTTGTGATCCACTTAGAATGAGCCTTCTAGTCTAGGAACACTTAAAAAAACAGTTTTAGTTGCTGATCGGGTGCAAGTAGAGGTTTGAGTCCAGCTCTTCTATACAGAGCAGTAAAGTAAAGCCTGTCATCTAGTGGTTATTTGTGAGAAACATGCTCACTAGATGGTAGACCTTTCAAACTAAAACAAACAGAAGAATGCTCGGTATGAGGTATTAAACTGCACCAGAAACAAGGAAAATAAAGTAGATAAAAAATAAACAAAAGACTAATGGCCTTTAAGGAGGTAAAGTTGAACATTAAAGTGCTCTAATCCTGTGAATTTCCCAGCTGCGGGACTAATAAACAATTGTCTTATCTTATATCTCATGGAGAATTACCAGATCCAGTTAACAACTCTTACTTCTCTTACAAGGAGCATCACTGTCTCAGGATCGTGGACGCCTGGAGGCGAGGATCGAGCTGCTGGGCGCTGAGCTGGAGTCGCAAAAGAAACAGAACGAGAGGGACAACGATGCCCTAAAAATCAAAACCAAAATCATCGATGACCAGACAGAGACCATCCGCAGACTCAAAGAGGTAGTGGGGAAGTAACATTTCCTCATTGTTGTATGACTGTTTTACGGGTGTTTCTGTATTTCCAGCTACGTCTTTATCTCGGGACACACTGAAGCCTTTTCTCTTCCTGCTGTCTAGACCCTGCAGGAGCGCGATGATCAGATCCGTAGGCTGAGCGAGGAGGCGGTCAAGGCCCAGAAGAGGTTCCAGCAGCAGCTGGAGGAGGAGACGGCTCAGCGGTCCGAGCTGAGGGAGCGGCTGGAGCATCTGAGCCAGCGCAAGGAGGAGCTGAAACTACAGCTGGGGGACAAGGAGGCGGAGCTGGAGGAGATCAGAAGAGTTCACAGGCAAGCTTCCCATCACAGGCACACACAAATATTCTACATATATAGCAGATACAAACATCAAGTTGATTGCTCCGTATGTATCTAGTGATTCCAGTAAGAAGTGGCAGGCAAAGGCAGACCTGCTGACTCGGCTGGAGAGCCAGGTGAAGCGCATGAAGGAAAACTTTGATTCCAAGGAACGTCTCCTGCTGGAAGAAAGAGATAAAGCGACAGAAGCGCACAAGTAGGGAACAACACATCCAGGCAGAAATGTTGAGATGCTTCCAAAATCTGCTGTTCCTTTACATTTCTTTATACTATTATAAGAAATCACTCATCCATCTCTAACCCGAACCGCAGCGCTGGAATACTTCCATAACTGTAATACTTCCATAACTGTAATAACATTGTAGTTATGAGTAGGATGTATTAGATCCCCTGAGACGGAAGCAGAAAAATATAAATGTAAATGTATCACTGCGTCAGTGATTCTCTTCCATCATACAAATGTCATCGTACCAGCCAAGTGTCTTATGTAACATAATACTGTATTTGTTGTTTGTCTCGCAGAGCTTCAGTGGAGAAGTTGCACCGTGTGGATGACGCATTTCGTCGACAGCTAGAGTCCGGCCAGGCTGCCCATCAAGCTGAGCTGCTCCGACTGGCGAATGACAAGCAGAAGCAGATAGAAAAAGCCAATCAGAAGGTCAAATATAAACACTAGAAGTGTCCTCCTCCAAGTTGGAAGACAAAAACAGGGTTTTTGTGTCCGGTGTGTTCATACGTGGAATATATAAAAAATATCCAAATCCAGCCCTCATAAATCTCATATTTAGCTTTTATTTAGAGGGTTTTATGTGTGTGTGTTCTTTAGGTGTTTGAAGTGGAAGAGGAGATGCGTCAGCTATTGGAGGAGACTGAAACCACCAAGAGAATCATGGAAGAGAAAATAAGACGTCTCACAAGTGTACTAAAAGACTTTTAACAAATTAAATGGACTTTTTCCAACATTTTTTACGTTAAGTTATTGTTGTATTTTAGTGTATCACAAGTCATATAATAAACGTCCTCTTGAGCGTATCTTGTTGTTTCTTTAGCTTCATGTAAACGTGTGTTAGCTCAACTTTAAGATAAAACACGAGGTCACATTTTAAACTTTATCCATATATTTGCAGTACAATGTCTGTCACCCATTCATGCAAGAAAAACTACTTAAGATTAATCCTGATTTCCTAAAAGAAGAATAAACAGATTTAAAGGAGTAGGAGGGGCATCACTGGCTGGGAGGGGAATCAACGGTTGCCATGGCAACCCTAACGTAACGTCCGTCGATTTAAAAACCCCACAGCCCCTACCGCCGTCCCGTCGAGATAACACGTTATGTTGGCGTGTCTCGTTGAGTAATTCCTACGTGTAAACGGTTGAAGTTTTTAAGAAAGAAGGAGGAGAAGAAAGATGGAGCTCAAGGCGACGGAGACCGTCCGCGCGACACCGAGTCGCCACAAGAAAAGTTTGGGTCTCCTCACGGTGAAGTTCGTCAGCCTGCTTCAGGACACGAAGGACGGCGCCCTTGACTTGAAAGCGGTCAGTGCGAATGGCGACGTTGCCGGCGGCTTCGTGTCGCATCGCCGGGGAATGAATCGGTGTTCCTCGGCGGGCCGCTCGGCAACAAAGGGCTGTCAGTCACACGCGCGCCGGTCAGGTGCATTGATTTGTGGAACAGGTGGCTCGGCCGGCGGCCATTGCCCCCTCGGTTCAATAACAACGATCCCCGAGCGGTTAACAAAAAAAACCCTGTTCGCTGAGTGAGTGTTTAGCTTCGAGCTTTCAGTTAGATTGTTAATGAAAGTTAACTGGTCGGTACAGTTTTATATTTATATATTTATTTTAAAAAAAGGAGTAAAAACCGCATTACAAATATTTCTTTTGGAAGAAAAAAAACATAACTTTTTAACTTTTACAATATGTGCACTGTAGAAACAGGACTGAATAATGTCGAAACATTAACTAAATTAAATCCGATTTTCCTGCAGTGTCAGCAGGATCTCAACCTTTACGTTTCCACACCCATTGGCCAAAAGCGTGTATTTCAACGTACGTGGCCAATCACAGAAAGGTGCATTTTAAATATAAATATCAAGCTTACCTTCCTTTTATTTTTTTTACATTAAATTTGCCTGTTGTGATGGCTGCTAGTTTGAAATTGGTCAAAACATGATGTGCCTACAGTGTCAAAATGAATTGCCTTGATCCCCTTCAGTGGAGAGTAGACTAACACAATAAAGGCTGTGCATTTGAATACTACGTTAACGAAGTTAGGAATAAATATATATATATGATTGCCAAAGCCAAGTTAGCCCAATCAGCTGACACCCAGAACTACTAATATCTTACTTTGAAATTGTGCCAACAGCACATGTATGGGTTCTCTTCCAGCTATGTACTAGCTACCCTGAAGGGCACACGATTCCACCATATTTTCATCACACCAGAAGTAGTTTACCTCCTTTCTTAAGCGCCAAAACTTGTTAATGTTTACACAGCATGCTTCTCAGACGCCGCTCCCTCCTCCCTCTTCCTCCTTTACTATTGTATCGGTTGGTTTATTTTCAGTTTGTGCAGCTTCATTTGCTAAACCCTTAATGCGATGGCTTTGTTTGAGTCTCTATCCAGAGTTTCCTGTTACAGCGCGTTCATCAGTGTCTGTGAGGTTTCTGTCAGCTTTGTTCATATTGAGCTTCCACTCAATGACACCTTTTATGAAAATGTCTGACTTAAATAAACAGGCTGCTGACATCTTGGCAGTGAAGCAGAAGAGAAGGATTTACGACATCACCAACGTACTGGAAGGAGTCGGGTTGATCGAGAAGAAAAACAAGAACGTAATCCAGTGGAGGTTTGAACAAAAAGATGTTCCTATTTTATTTAGAATTATTTTCTTTCTTACCGATAAGTCAATGCCTTCTATACCTGTCAAACTCCTGCAGTCAATGTGACTTATCTGAGATCATCTCTTATTTTACCCCCTTTTAGGCATTGAATTTTGTAATGAAACATTTTGACGAATCGAATTCTTACCTGCCGGTTACCATGCCAACGCGGAGTAACACACAACTTGTGATCGCACTTCATGCTTTCTCCTCCTGTGTCCAGGGGAGAGAACTCTGGCAGCCAAAACAAGGAGGTGCTAGAGCAGGTGAACCTTTTGAAGGCCCAAATCTCCGAACTGGAGGCTCAAGAAAAAGCGCTGGACAACCAGAAGGCATGGCTAGAGGAGAACATCATACACTTTAACCTCGATCCCATCGCCAGCACATATCCTTTCATGCCAACCGGCGATAAGTGGAGACCTGCAGCTATTTTAAGGTTATTTAGTTTCGGTTTAGTCCATCTCAGCCAGTAGTTTTGCGTATCTTTACTTCCTCTCTACTATTGACTAAACACATTGGAATTTTGCATTAACGTCAAGTTTAGGTAATTAAGTGGGTGCACCATTACTCTTCCAAAAAGCAACTTACTGTGGGACTGAACGGCTTCAGTGTGGAAAACATTTACTACTGAGGCTTTACGCTTGTCTCTTTCTGCAGTTTGTTGAATTTGAGAGGATTTATTATTATTTTGAGAGGAAAACCAACATACTTATCCTTTTTCACGTTGTTTGATATTCAGAAAACGCTAGAAAGCGAGGATTACTGTATATTATTATTGGTATTGTCAGTCTCTTGTGTAATCACATTCGGGCTAATCCTGATTTGCACAGTGCTCGCAGTCTTGTTTTTCCAGTTTGCTGTCTCTCTTTTCCTCCCCAAAGTAATCTGGCTCCCGTTTCCTTAACGCCTCTCCACTTATAAATTTGTCACACATGAAGACATCTGCAGTGCCTTCAGCGGAGAGACTCTTCTTGCTGTAGTGGCTCCTGCTGGGACCCAGCTGGAGGTACCGCTACCTGAAACGGTCGGTCTCGTCACACAAGCTTTTTTTTCATTGATTTGGCATACATGTCGTTTAGTTCTGCACAATGTCGACATTTTCTTCTGTAATATTGATCAAAATGTTGTCTCTAAATTATTAGTGAGACAGTTTTCGAACTTGATCAGAACCTTAAGCAGTGAAACACATGCTGAGCTGAACATAAAAACTCCACTAAGACACTGGAGATGCTGCAACTAAAGCTTACATTCATAAACATCCTGGTCTAAATCACTACTCTTCTTCACTGTGACAACGCAACACCGACATACTGTCCAATTAAATCTCCAGCATACTCCGAGCATCATTATAATCCTTTTGCACTGAGCTCGTCGCAAACAAAGTCTGGCTGTTGTTTTAGTGCTGATCACACAGCGAATGCTGCCTGCTGCGACTGACTGTTACGCAGTGAGAGCGAACCAAAACGTTCGAGTTGCGAACGATAAAATCTAAAATGTAATATATAAAAACATTTGTTGCAACTGTGATGACAATGAACTCCTTTCCACTGCTGATCCTCAGGGCCGGGGTGGTCCGAACAAGTACCAGGTCAACCTACGAAGCACCTCGGCCCCCATCCAGGTCATGCTCATCAACAGGGAATCGGACTCCACGATACCGGTGGTCTTCTCCGTGCCGCCCACCGACGTCATCTGTCCGATGCCGACTCCGCCGAGCACCCCCGCCAGCCTGCAGAGGTTCCCTTTCTCCACGTCGGGGTACTCCGCCTCCAGCACCACCAGCTCCTCCTTCTGCAGTCAGGGCTCAGACCACCAGGCGGCGCTATCAGAACACAGTGAAGCGCTGACTCTGCCGTCCAGCCCTCCGGATGTGCAGATGGGTGAGTACAGCAATGCTCATTGAGTAATTCTAGACAACCACCAAATGCAATTATTACACATTTAACGGAATCTCTGAGGCTGCAGTTAACACAAAAGCTTGACTTTACACTCCGATTCATATTCATTCAGTTATTCGCTGTCTATTTATTTGATCTTACTTACACATTAAAAAATCAGATGATCTACTTATTGTTGAGCTGTGTTTAATTATGCTTTGAGTAAATATTTTCCTTTAAAGTGATGAATGACAAATTATTAACTGCGATTCTTTTAAAATCTCCACGTTGCGTACGAAGACATCGAAAGAACTGAAAGTATCAAATTGCGGCACTTAGTTGTCAGGAAACAAAATCTTAAGAAAAAATGCTTACATTGAAAGTGAATCCGGGAATTTGGTGGTTTGTTCCTTTTTAAAAAGTGTACTTTCTATCAGCTGACTCAAACATATCAGCTGATATCTTGTCCTGACATGAAGAACAAGAGAAGTCATTGCTCGCGGAAAACACAATGTAAGATGGTCAAAGGTTGCTTTCGTCTGCCTTTGGCATGACGATCCTCCATCGAGGCTGTTATGCAGCATGCGAGCACATATCATGCATTGGTTTCCAGTTCGCAACCGCTCAGAGAATTACCGTGAGCTACAAGGGCCAAAATGTCTTTGCATCTCCATGGAAACACTTGAGCTCTGAAGTCCAGCAGACATGAAGTCTTACGGATGGATTTCAATGCAGATGACTGAGCGTTAACTCTGTCCCAATGCTTCACTTTCCTCTGTAATGATGCAGATTGCACGTTCAACACAGGGCTTTACATGTTAAGCTACGGCTTGTTGTTGCCCCTCCGATGCAGGTTGCCACAGTCAGGCAGCAGGCGTGTTGGCGCAGCAGCAGATGGAGCTGACGGGCCCAGAGTTCCAGTCCTTGCTGGACGTGAGCAGCCTGTTGAAGCTCAGTGCTGCCGAAGACCACATGAAGGACGACAGAGAGGGTGAGGACTCGCTTCGTGATCGCATGCAGCAGTGAAGAGGGGCAGTTTGATGTTTTTCTTTTGAGATCCAGGTTTGCTTTTATTCCTGGTTTTGGGACTAGGACTTGTCAATTGATATTCATAATATGCTACTTTTATCCATCTTTGATGGCTATGAATTCATGTCACATAGGCTGCAGTAAATGTTGCATATATTGAGAAAGAGAACCTCGTTTTAATTCTCTTGTAGAAGCTGTGGACCTGATTGACGAGCTAATGTCCACCGACGGTAAGAATCGGACTAATATTTTAATGGAAAACTGTATATACAAATAAATAATTACAGCATGCTCAAAGCGTCTGTGAGCTGCTACATTCTAACAATGTTAACATGCTTTACCAAATGTGATGGTCACCAGGTTCAACATCTTAGCTCAGAAAATAATTCTATATATAATCCTTTCCATCGGTGTTTGTTCTAATCTCTTGTCGGTTCTCCTCCCTCCTGAAGCAGAAATAGACTACAGCTTCAACCTGGACGACAACGAGGGAGTGTGTGACCTGTTCGAAGTGCAGATCCTGAACTACTGACGCCTCCTCCGCCGCGTGCTTTTACAACCTCAGGAGCCACCGTCTCCTCCCCAAAGACGGCCGGTGACTTCCCCCATTTCTGTTACGCACACTGCTGACAATCAAACGTTCCAATGTCTCGGTTTTACCGGGTAAAATATCAATCACTGAAACGAGTCGCCTCATCGGAGTAAAACGGGACAAATCCTTCAGCCTCCTACTGCACTTTTACATATTAGTATTTTTCCACATCCAGTGGGAATTCTGAGACTATACAACAGCGCTGCCTTCTGTCGATGAAGAGTGGGATTGTGATGTTGTTTTCATATTGGTTGATATTCACAGGGGTCCCAACTCGGTGTTTACTGCTTTCAACATTTGATACACAGTCGATGATCTAGTTCTGTCTGTAAATAACTTATGCTTTGGGCTCTTTAAAAAAAGTCTTACCCAATTCAATGGGTATATTTGAGGAAAAGTCATCTAATATTTTACAAGTGAATGTTTCTGTTACATTTCGTGACCTTGTTCTCAATGTGAAAATGGCAGAGATTTATTTCCTAAATTATTGTTACACTGCCATTTTGGAACCTAATTTTTTATATCCTTATATAATTAGTTATATATTTGAATAAGTCAAATCTTTAATTTAAGAAAGAAGATGTTGTGCCTATTGCTGGTTGACTGCCTTAATTGTAATAAAAGTGAATCGGCCATATTTGTGAACTGAAATTTCAGATCTTACAAGAGTGGCATTTTTGTATATTTATAGTTTTCTTTAACTAGTATTTTTTTATTACAAGTCATGTTATTTGGGACACGTTGGTCTTTATTTGCACAGTTTTGAAAGTTTTTTTCAATAAACTAAAGATTTGTAACCGACAAACTATCTAAGTAATTATTTCGGTTTGAACATATAAAATGTGAGAAGAAAAACTTCACTTTACTGTTTACTCCGCTTTTGTTGGGTGAGGATTGTTTAGTTTGGGAGTTGGTTGTATTAAGACACACATGCCTTGTTAATCACTCGCAGGCAGTTCAGCCCCGAGTTGAGACGTTTTTTCTCTGAGTGAAGTGTTTTTCTCAGTTAACAGATGGCGAACATCAGGGAAATTGTTTCCACACAACGCACACGTGATGGAGAGCCACCAGTTGCATCACTTCATTGTACCAGGAATCATATCCACCCAAAGCCAGTAAAAACTCATTGTGTTTACTATTCTATGAGAGATTAATGACACAACAAACAACATTATCCATCAGCCTAACCAGAGACACAAATAGAAATCCAAAGTGTACACGGCTGTGTTTATGTATAATTTAGAATTGGAGACTGTTTGTATTTTCTGTAAATCTCTGTCTGTAACCCCACATTTATTTACTAAATTCTACCAGTTACATAACCTTTGAAGACATTTTGCAGCATTTGAAATCCTCACGCTGCTGCTAACGTTGATCTTAACTGCAGGCTTTTTCCAAAGTGTCATTAAATCTCCTTCCAATAGTGAACACTTTCCTACTATGAGCTATTTCACACAAACCTGGCAAACCACATTTATTATACTACTCTTAAAAGGTTCCAAAAAACATTTACAGGTGGTTATCTAACCTCCCGTTTAAGTGATATCACTGAAAATGCTGTATTTTGAATCTCTTGTCGTGCAGATAAACAATTTACGTGTTTCCCAGTCAGGACCGCAGCAAAGAGAAGGCTTCTACTGTTGATCTTGAATGACACGGCTGCATTCCACATGGTCAACCACAACGTATTCCTCGAGACACTGGAAAACTGTGGTGCCCTTTTTGGAACTGTGCTTTGGAACTGTACTGGTTTCACTTATTGTTGAAGGAGTCCAGTGGCCCCGTGAATGGAAATTAAGAAACGAAACACACGCAAACGCATGAAACATCTTCACCTGTTACACAACAAACCACGATTACACATTGGACTAAGACGCACAGATCCCCAGGGCTCCGTTCTCGGGCCTCTTCTGTTCAACCTCACACTCTCACCATCTCAGAATATGGAAGTTATCAGCCCTACGTTTCTAAAGGAATGCAGACCACCTGGCTGCTAACAAGCCCTGTACGGGGTCAATACCGTACTAAGAGTGTGATCCAATGTTTGATGTTTGCAATCCTCCCTCTCTATCCTCCTGAGGGGTTGAATAAGTCTTAATGAAAAACATCTGTACAAAATAGCTATGAAGAAAATCACAACCACCTCGTAAAAAGGGAGGCTGCAGGGATGAAGTGTGCCTCTGATGTTCTGAGGAATTTAGGAAACTAATCCGTGGCTGTGCAACATGAAAGGATGCAGATTTGGTTCAAAGCAAAACCACAAGCTGATATGCGATATATTTTAATTCTTAGGAATTTATGAAAAAATACATAGTGAGAGAGTAGATTTAATTGTCATATTACATGTTAAAAGTCAGATTACATCTTGTTTGTAGACTGTCCAGATGTGTAACTTATAAGTTAACTTAACTTGTAAGTAAATCAGGATTTATAACAAGAACTATTTTAAACAAGTTGCATTACAAAGACTAAAGTTCCAGCGTATTCGTTCGTTTATAAATAGATCCATTTTTCTTAGATTTGATTTGTATATTGTGCAATGAGGAGTATGAGGTTCACGCATCTATCTGCCGTGAGCAGCTTGAAGTGTCACAATATGCGTCATGTGTAACACTCCAAGTTTCGTGAGACATCTTTGCGAAATGTCTTTGACCTTCAACAAAAAAACAACCAGATTCAGTTTGACTCAGTTGAAGCAGTTTAAGTTAAGAGTGAGAATCCACCGTCATTACAACTGGGAGAAATACGCTTGTAATGAAACATTGATTCCTCTGGATACAAATGTATTTTGCATTCATGGTTTGGTCCTTGAAAGTAAACACAGATACAACCATCAACCTCCTGATATGGAGGGAATTGAAGCGCTAACGTAAATGTGCAGTTTCCTCACATGCCTCTACTGCCTCTGAGGCCCTTTTACTGGGACCTTTCACTACTTCTCATATTGAGAATGTGTTTGTCTCTTGAGATGCACTGTGGGAGTTAAATGACATCTCCATCCCTCCGTCCACCGCGGGATCCTCCCTCCTCCTGGTCCTTCTCCGCCTCTGGCTAAACTTTTTGGCCACTTTCACCAAGTGCTGCCTGAAGGACGAGCCCACGAAGGCGTAGAGGATGGGGTTGAGGCAGCAGTGGGTGAGAGCCAAGCTCTCCGTCACCTGAGCCGCCTTATCCAGCACTTTACTCGTCACGCAGTGGGTCACCAAGGCGTAGACGGAGTCCATCGCTCGGTAGAGCTTCACGACGTTGTAAGGCAGCTGAGTGACCACGAACACCCCCACCACGATCAGCAGGACGCGCAGGGCTCTCCGCTTCCTGCCCCCGACGTCCGCGGGGAGGCCCCTCAGCGCCCGGCCCACGCTGCCGTAACAGATCACCATGACCAGGAGCGGGAGCAGGAACCCCAGCAGCACCTCGGCCACCTCCAGGGCAGCCTGCCCCCCCTGGGCCATGGACGCCGGGTACACCGCCAGACAGACGCTCCTGTCGGACAACCACCGCACCTCCGAGAGGATCAAATCGGGCAGGCCGAGGACGAAGGCCGTCGCCCAGACGGCCGAGCACAACTTCCAGCAGTGCCTCCTGGTGACCACCCTGCGCAGCCAGCGCCCGCCCTCCCTGCCGCGCACCCTGGCCACCGCCAGGTAGCGGTCCAGGCTGATGCAGGCCAGCAGCAGCATGCAGCAGGTGAAGTTGACCGAGTAGCAGGCCGACACGACCTTGCAGAGGACCCCGCCCAGCTCCCAGCCCCTCGCCGCGTCCGCCGCCCAGAAGGGCAGCGTGAAGAGCAGCAGCAGGTCGGCCACGGCCAGGTGGGTGAGGAAGGCGTCCGTCATGGTCCTCAGGCGCTTGTGGTAGGCGTAGACGGCCACGACCAAGCCGTTTCCCGCCAGACCCGCCAGCAGGCACGCGGCGTACACGGCGGGGAGGAAGGCGGCGGCGAAGGAACGGACGTCGCCCTTCTCGCAGAGGACCGGGTAGTCGTCGTAGCTGGAGTTGAAGCTGATGTTCTCGTGGTAGAAGAAGTAGTCGTCGTCATCCTCTGAGACGTCCATGCTGTTGCAGACGGGAGCGGCGAGGGAGGACATTTTGAAAAGGGCATTCACAGCGTTACTCGTGCAACAAATAAGAGCGGCGCAAAGCAGTTGAGTACATCAACGCACATGGAACCGCACATCGAGTATGAAGCAAAGACACAGGTGACACTTAAATCTCAATGTAATGTTTGTGTAAAAGAACGACGGCGAGCCGCACAAACAGCGGCAGAGGAAGGACCCCCGGGAAAAACACTGTAAAGGTAAACGGGTACGCACTTTTATCTCACACTCAAAGCTTTGGTTAGACTTCAGACTTGAAGGTAAATGATTTCTTTTGTTGATGTGTGATTTCAAACCCAAACGGGAAACAGTCCAGCAGATCCTATCGGTGCTCCAGCTGAATAACAAAAGGACATTTGAAAGGAAGGAAGAACCCAAAAGAGATACTGGTCTGCGGAATGTGCAACGGCAGCGCTTCACAGAAGAGATTAACAACACAAACGTATGTAACGTACCAGCTGGACCATGAATTCTATTAATCTATAACTGATCCACTGCTTGTGGTTTCGTTGATGGCTTTGAGCTGCTTCTTCACAACTGAACGGAATTGAAATGATTTCTAGGAAAAAAATGTTAAAGGAAGGAAAAACAGCTGCAGCCGACTCATCTGCTCTGACCTCAACTTTATAGTTGCAATTTGCAAAAATGGAATGGAAAATGAGGAAATGATGAAGTACATGTTCACACCCTGAGGCACACTGAATCATTTAGAGCTAAAGAATCATTCATCATATATATATATATATACCAACAAAAAGTATCTATGCATGCTGCATCTTATGAATCCACATACACACATATATGAAGCAATACACAGCACATTTTAACATTATCCTGATGTCTGTCAGGAGTTGTCCTTCTGATTATTTATTAAACTATCAAGTGGGAAAACAACCAATGGCGAGTTTAGCAAAAAAAATGAGTAAAATCAAAACTGAAGGGACATTTTACTACAGTCGATTTGATTCATAAACCCAATAATAAGTTCAGAAAGAAGTCTTACCGGCCAGTGCTTTGTTCCTCCTGCAAGAGAGCCGGGATTCAGTCCAGCTGTGAACGCAGCCGGTCTTTTATCGCTCTAAACACACACTTCTGGGAAAGACGACAACAGAGAGAGAGGAAGAGGTGAAGTGACGGTGGACCGAAACCAAGTCGGTCGTAGAGCTGGAGACATTTTTTGTGTGTTAAACATGAATGAACATGTTTAAAACAAAGAGGAAAGCAGGTGTGTAAGCGGCATTTCAACAACAGAGGAAGCATATGAACAATGACTCCATGTGCCAAAAAGATAAATGAAAGAAAAGGTTGGTTTAACTTGCACTTTGATCACTTAGAAGGTGTTTAGTTCGTCAACGAAAAGAGAACACAGATGTTCAGACTTGTGGAAAATATTGTAAAATGTAACATGTAATATTGTAAAAGTATTTCTGGCGGGTAACAGCATTCAGCAATGGTGTATTCACTGTATTTACACTCACATCCTTAGAATGAATAAACTTGCCACGCCTAAAACCACCAGGAATGTGGATGATTATATTTAGAGCCGCAAGTAAGAGGCTTCTTCCTTTATTTTTTTTAAGATAACTACTTCCTTTTCCTGTTTTGTGCCTCGGATGTTGAGTTGGCCGACCCGGTCACAGAAAACACAAACAGTAATTCTTCTTTACGGTAAGAATTTCTAAGAGAAGAGAAGTCGTAAGACACGTTACTTTCAAGTAGTTTTTATTATTCTACATGTCCAGTAATCAGAGTCACTGGTTTGCATTCAGATCTTTAACAGAGATACTTTGTTGTTAATCAACAGTGAAAGACTTTTAAGGAGTTTTTAAAGTTTATTCTGTCTGCATGGGATTGTTTAGCAAAACAATTAGATATCTGGCAATAAGTGTCCCAACTCCCTTCCTTGTTCATGCACTCACCACATGTGACACGTTTAGTGACACACATTGCATCATATTTAGCTGTGCATAACTACATTATAATGTCCAATCGGGCTGGTTGATTTTAAATCTTCTAAAATGTTCGGTAGTGTGGATGCTGTATAACAATGCATCAGTGATGTAAACAGGACATAAAACAACCAATTGATTAGAGCAGTGATTCCCAAAGTGTGGGCCGCGTACTGCAGGTGGGCCGCGAGAGGACATTTACAATAAATAAATAAAGTTTTTTAATTTTCAATTTTTAAAAGTTTGAAATTAATATAAAAATATTTATGATGCGGCACATTAGTTATGTGAAACATTAATTGATGACGCACAAACAATTTAAACGACCACATTAATAAATAAATAAGGCTCTCGCTCGAAACGGCTGCTCTTGTCCGCCTGTCGTTGTTCAACAAACGGGGCGCCCTCTTGTAGTATTAAAGTAAATACACCGCATTTTCCGCACTCCAAGGCGCACTTAAAAGGCTTTAATTTGCTCAAAAACACAGTGACAGTGCCTTATAATCCGCAGCGCCTTATATATATGGATCATTTGGTTAATCGGTTGATCCATACTGGTTGTACACGGCGCTCTGCCAAACACGCCAAAGCTCGTCTACGACGGCGAGATGCTGAGCGGCCTCAAGCGCGTGAGATATGGAGCTGCTTTCAGGGCGCGTCGGAGAAACAAAGCTGTCGTTCTCACCGAGCACTTCATGAGATTAAAGAGCGAGAGACGGCGCCCTTTTCTCTACAGTAGCTGAACCATCTTAACGGGGAAAATAAGTTATTCCAAAAGCAGCCGAAGATTTAAGGCGTGGATGGCGAGGGGGGCGGCGGGACCTCACGGCATCGATCGGACCCTGAAAGCATCGTCTCCACCTTACTGTCAGAAAGAACAACAGCGAGCGCAAGCAGAGATTCTCCTCGCGAGCAACGAAGTTCACGTTTCGCAAGCGAGCAAGTACCTCGCGCGAGACGGACTTTTGCTCGCGGATGTTTGATTTTGTTTAAATTCTTAAGGTAATTTAATCATCCCTAGTTTATGTTTTGATCAGAGTTGTGATTAAAGGTTTGGGTGGGCCGCGCATTCTTGAGTTTGGGAACTGCTGGATTAGAGGATTCCAAAGTTCACAAGGTTCACTTGTTACAACACGAACGTAACGCCAGATCGCATGAATTAGTACCTCTGTGTGCACATGGTTATTATAGCTTGTGTTGATTTTAATCACATCCAGGGTGTTCAATGCAATATTCTTCCACAGGGGATAATTACAAAACTGTTTCTAATAAATAGGCACATGGTTTTATGACTGAAATGGGTCGAAACTTCAGCAGAGAGATTACGACTTCAGGGAGTCTCTGAGATGATGAAATCGGACATGTGAAATCAATTCAAAATGTTCTTTGTTTACTTCAAAGTGAACAAACACCAGAGAGTATTTAAAGGTCGTCGTCTTCAGAGCTCTTCATCTCACTCGCCATGAAGAAGAGTGTGCTGCTGGTCCTGTTGTCTCTGCAGGTCTTCCTGCTCATCACAGCCTTCGCGTCTGCGGATGCAAACTCCACATGGATCGATTTTCCGCAGCCTCCTGCTCAGGTGAGCACATCGACTCCAATGAGCTACTCGTATGCAGATGATCAGTTAATTTAAAAAACACTCTTTCAGTGTAGTTTATTATCATGTCCTTCTACCCAACTCAGCCTCCAACCTCCTCTTCGCTTTAGGCTCACTTAGCTTTCTTTACATATTTCCCTATAGGCACCCAGTAAGGAGGCCTGTTATATTAACTACTAACTATGCATGATGTAATCTAAATGACTGCATTGCTCAAAGATTTTGTTCAGTTTGGAGATCATCAGTTTGTTTGGAGATGACATTTGCACATTGTTCTATATGTGGTGAACGTGAAGGACGGCAACATGAAAATGTCTGGAAACAAACGGAAAATGTTTTCCAACTGCAGAAAGAGAGCAGGAGCCTGTAGCGTGTTGACATTCGGGGTAAGAACGGATTTATTGAGAATTTAAACCTTTCCATCTGTTTCCAGCTAATAGGTGAGTCTGAAATGTTTCCAATGTCTTTATTACAGCCCGGTCCTCCTCCTCTTCCTCCTTCTCCTCCTCCCCCACGGTAAGAAGAAGCACAGTCCCCCCTCTGCGTTGTGTCTTAGAGGCTCCTCACAGGACCTCGATCGGCCCGTCCTCTGCTCTACTGGACACTAACGCGTCACTAGAAGCCCGACAAGACGCCATTTCAAGTCACGTTTAATCCCACAGTTCTGACACTTAGGTGGTTGAAGCCATTTGGTGACACATCTCCTTCTTCTCTGTGTTTCTTTCTGTCTCTGTCTGCAGATCATAATCTCATCGAGGGAGATGGACAGAGAACTCGATCTGTGATTTGATTGATTATTGTCCTTATCAGCTACTTCCAAGCATATGAGTCCTGGTGATGACACTGCTCTGTCACATGTGACCTGCTTTGATTTGAACATCTGTAATAAAATAGCAGTTATTGGGTCGCTTGTAAAGACAAAGTTCATTTGTGTTTATGGTCAAAAGCCGTTGCTGCTCACAGCTGCGTAGAGGAAACAGTGGTGGACAGATGATCCTTCACGTTCTCACACTTTTTGTTCCACTACAAGTTTTCCCAGCTGGTCCCTGAGTGATGACAACGATCAAAACTTTGCTCCTCGTAAAGCATTTACGTTTCAAATGAACAGCTGTCCCTCCGTCTATACAGGGAAGCAAAGCCCAACTAGAACTTATAGAACTATGTGGGTGGAAATTTTGTGGGATATAGCCCATGTGAGAAAATCAAAAAGTATCTTGAGCTTGCTTTGTGATTAAGTATTTATTACTAACTAGAATATAGAAAAAAGATAAAAGAATACAGAAATCATCAGCACAAGTCGTAAGCACAGACAGAAGTCAAGTGACTACAATTCAGCTGAAAAGGGACAGAATGTTCCTTCCCCTAAAAGGAGCAGGAAGATCTGACAAAGCTGAAGAAGAGAACAGGAGCTTATGTACACTTCAGGGAGGTTTGTGCTGCCTCAGCACAGGAGAGCCCACCCCTCAAAGAAGAGTGTTGGAAAAGTACCAGATGATGTAGGGGTGACCCCGTGACCCTCCCTTTATGGACCCAGACAATTAACGACATCTAAAAGGTCAGTCAGGGCACGTATGATTTCATCTGTGTCTTATCTCACCCTGGACTGCCTTAAGTCACCGGCTCACATCAAAGGTCACATTCCTGAGAGCCTCACCCCACGCAGGCTCAACAATTTTCCCCCAACAAACTACAAATAAAATAAAAGAATGATTTCAGAAAAGACATTTAACGTGACATCAGATGAAGGCCTTTCATGAATAGATGCTTGAGTGGTCATGAGAAGGACTCACAGTGTTAACTATCTCAGGAGACAGTAGCTGTCAGGAATGATAATATACTCCAACGAGTATTCAAATCTTAAATCTTAAAATGTTTTTCCAGATTTTCAAGAAGTAATAAACATGAGAATGAAACTGTTAGCTATTTACAATACAAAACTGAGATCATTGTATTTGGTGCTAAAAAAGAAAGGTTTAAAGTAACCGAACACCTTCACTCTCTGTCCCTGAAAACATCAAATAAAGCCAGACATCTGGGGGTTATTATGCATTCAGATTTACACTTGGAGAGTCAGCTCAAATCAGTAACAAAATCGGCCTACTACCACCTCAAAAATGTAGCACGACTTAGAGGGCTCATGTCAGCTCAACACTTAGAAGCACTTGTACATGCCTTCATAACTAGTAGGCTAGACTATTGTAATGGTCTCCTTGCAGGTATTCCAAAAAAAACTGTCAGGCAGCTCCAGCTTGTTCAGAACGCTGCTGCTAGAGTTCTAACAAAGACCAAAAAATGTGAGCACATTACACCAATTCTTAAATCCTTACATTGGCTCCCAGTATGTCAGAGAATTAATGTCAAAATCCTACTGCTCACATATAAATCACTACATGGTTTAGGGCCTGTTACGTCCGGCTGCTCTATTAGTGTTTTCTCCTCCCCCATGTCTCTGTTTCCAGTCTGTTCTTCACAGGTGTGGTGAGTTGCTGCTGACGATGCAGGCGTGGCCAGCTGTTCCTCCAGCCAATCCAGCTCTCAGCTCTGCTCTTTAAAATGTTTGTTTGTGAGAGCTTGGAGGGGGGGCTTGTTTGGGGAGAGATTGACACTGAATGAGACATTGGAAGAATATATGGTTTATGTTGTTTGTTAAACTGTGGTCTATTGTACACCCAGGTCTGTGTTTATGTACTTACCCAAGAGCGCTGTGGAGCAGGACTAGGTAAGATACCCTGGGGTCTACATACACCCGTAGAGAGAACCTCTGTTAGATACACTAGATTAGAAGTATAGGATATTAGAAACAAATTGACGATCCGG